GATTGAGCAAAAATGTATTTCCCGTTCCACCAGGAGCATCCAAGAAGGCGATTCCACCCTTTCCACTGGTTAACTTGGCAGTTATTGCAGTGTAGGCAGCTCTCTGATCAGGAGTCAGCTTGGGCTCGTTAGAAGACACATAGGCTGCCAGGGCCTGCACATCGTAGCTTGTCTCACGCAAGACATCCTTAGTCTTGAAGTCATCCTCACCCCTGCAGAAAAGCAGAGGGTACTGCAGGGGATCGTATGAGCGGTGGGGGTCCTGAATGGCCTGGACTGGAGCATTGCGAGACTGCAAAAAGAATGTCACGGGGACTTCCACCCTCGCCTACCATCAGGATTGCCACCTCATCCACTGAGGGTTCATTGAAGCGACCCCGGTGTTGGCCAGGAGGTCGCTTGTCTGTCCTAATGATGATTCTGTAGTCTGCCGTGCAGTTGTGCTGTTGCTCCATCGCAGTCTTGAAGGAAAGTATATAGTTGTTGTTGGCATGGAGCATTCTTTGCAGATTCAGAACAGTTTCATGGTCAGTTGCAGTAGGGAACATCCCTGAACGCCTCTGAGCCTCAGCCGTCTCCGATCCAAGGAAGTAAATCTGAAGAAAGGCAGGAGCCTCTACCGGAGGGGGATGCAGAGCCCCAACTCGGTGGTACACCTGACCCTGTATCTTGAATGTTGGCATCCAAGTGTCCTTCACTTCACGAGCAGCAAATGACGTCATCGCAAAAAGCGAATTGTACAGCCGGATGCTTCGAAGGAATGCTTTTGACTGTGCATACTCACCGAGAAGCAGCGAGTACAGTGGCTCTGGTGGAGGCAAGATTGGAGGAAGTCGCACCTTGCCACTGGAGCAGCACATACCTGGTGTTTCACGCTTCCACTTACAGGGCACTGCAGAACTGACAGCGCTCTGACATCCTTCGAATGGTCAGACTTGGATTCAGCTCATATGCTAAGGTGCAATCATAACTGAAAGCATCATTGAGCTTGGCCTGCCAGGCTCTTGAAGTAGCAGCTACATGTTGAGCCCTCTCAGTCAGTTGGCGATTACGACGCTGGTCAGGAGTCTCAGCTTCTCGGGCTGCAGCCTGGCGCAGTTGCTGCTCCTGAAGTCGGGTCTGCCTCCTGGCAGAAGTTTCAGCTTCTCGGGCAGCAGCATGACGGGCCTGGTCCAATTGCAGTCGAGTTTGCTGCCTGGCAGGAGTCTCAGCTTCTCGGGCTGCGGCCTGACGCAGTTGTTGCTCTTGAAGTCGTGCCTGGTGCTCCTCTGGGGTCTCTGCAGCACGCCTATCCTGCATATCCTGTGATTTCGTGGATTTTCTGCCAAGATTGCTCCTCTTTGGGGGGGACATTTTTAATGCACACCTCAGAATGATGAGCTGGGGTAGGCTGTGGAAATCTGTGGTGGCCTAAGGTGAGCTGGGGTAGGCTGAGGTAATCTGTGATGGGCTAAGTTGAGCTGGGGTAGGCTGCGATGTGTGTGGGCTAAGATGAGCTGGGGTAGGCTATGATGTGTTTGAGCTAAGGTGAGCTGGGCTAGGCTGCAGTAGGTGCTAAGGTGAGCAGTCACTGACCAAAAAACCCATCCCTAAAATATTAAGTAAACTACTAAATACGCGGTTTTTTTTCTCAAGAACGGATGGTCCGATTTGCAATCTGTTTGCACCCGCCTGACCATTCTTGGGGGTGATGTAAAACTTCATTTTAGCAATGTTTTCTCTCGGACCTCCGTTGGGCCTGTGCGGGCACTCCGGGGCTAATTTCATTCATGTGGGAATTTCATTCTGGATTTTTCAATTGCAAACACACAAGGATTTGTGATGTGTGAAGGAGCAATGGTTGTCTTCATGCTTCAGTCATTCAAAGGCCATAAATTATATAAGTTTTTCTTAGTTTACACTTAAGTTTATATCTAAAAGTCCCTTGTCCAGAAATAATTGGAGCGATCATAATTCAAAATGCGATTGAATTCTGTTCAAATAAAATGAGGCTTCCCCATGAGAAAGGCCAAGTACTGGACTGAGCTAGTCCAACTTATTTTTCTTGTCTTGTAGAATTGATCTTTTACTGCACCCCATGTCAATGCACCATGATGCCAGATGATGCTCTGATATGCTACTACAGTCTTGGAAAAAATCCAGTCAACTGCTACCCCAGCATAGGTGAAGAGTGTATTCAGTAAAAGTCAAGTTTACCAACCTCAAACATCAACAATATGAAAGTCAGCCTCACATGATACCCCAAGCATCTTCAAAAGCATTCAACAGCTTTGTGCATGTGAGGGCAGCTGATAAGGGATACTCACTGATGGCCACTTCCTTCTCAGTATAATCCACGTTCACCTGAAATGAGAGACATGCTTTAATAAGCAAGCCATCTTGTGACCAGTTTGGCAAAAGCAACAGGGTTTTTTTGCTCTCATGCCATGTTTAACATAGACTTGCATGATGACAGTCCTTACAGACTCCTGAAAATTTGGTTCCTAGAATAATACATGGGGGAAGGCTGGGCTGTAGGTCCCTGACAGCCCAGCCCACCCACCTGGCAAAAAATGGTCCAACACATTGGCTCTCAACATTTGATTGCCTACAGCATACTTTCTGGGCAATGAGATACTTTGGTCATCATGATGGACCTCCTGAAGCAATATAGGCTTTTAAAAAAATCCCAGAAACAGTGTACAATGAACTTGAAAAGTTCATCAATGAGAATTAAAATCCAGTAATGCATACTTCAGAAATAGCATTCAAATTCCTCATTGCAACATTGAAACTTTAGAAAATGTCAGAATGAGAAACAAGATCCAGCATAATTATGGAATACAATCATTTTTCAAGGTCTATGGAAAACACATCATGAGTCAATGCCTGAGAGGAGGAACAGAAAGAACTTGTGATCATGTATTCAACTTGCATCAGAGGTGTCTTGACAGAAACTGAGACTGATTGGTGAGAGTAGCTCTCACCAATGTTGCAATATAAACATTTTGCATTGTTTCCAAGTGGACTTTTCTAATTTTCATCTCCTCCATGCTTTTTTGTGTATTCTACAATTGAGTTATGAAGGACCAGTTCCTCACACTCAGCTTCATTCATTGGTATGTATTATTGCCATAATGAAAACTAAGCACAGCTGCCAATAGCACAAAGTAAGGGGGAAAACAGGTACCTCTCAAACTGAAAGCATAAGATGACCTTACCATATGCACAATAATTTTCTTAGGTCTGCCTGGAGAGTGCAGAAATGCCTTTCTATTCAATGTGACTCTTCTTTCAAGCTAGCAGGCTGATGAATTTAACACTGAAAACCAGGGTACTGCTTGCAGCCTTAGAGAAACTGGTAAAATTTTGGTTGCAAAGAGAGCACTTCTAAGGGGTGCAAGAAAAGCTGGCTGGAATTAGTGCTAAGATGTGGCAGATTTACCACATTAGCAAAGGCAAATTCGTTTGCTGTTTCATAGGGAGGATTCATATTGAAGGTAACATTTAAGTGTCTTTGTGAAATGAAGAATCTATAACTTCTAGCTAACCCATTTGAAAGATCCAAAGCAAATGGCTCAACTGATATTGATTTTTTGCTAACCCTATTAAGACATTTAGAGAAGTGCAATTCACCTTTCCATGAGCCATTGCCCCAACAACATAGACAACAGGCTCCTCCATGCCTGGAGTTATGAGGTCACGAGGTCGAACCAACTCCTTTGCCTGGTATGAGGTACCAATCTTTTTGCTTCCAGCTGGTAGATAATCAGTTACTGGATTCTTGATCACCTTCAGCAGCTTAATGGAGTTCTCGGTTGATTTGATGCTCAACTTGTGTAGTAGCTGGACTGGAATGAAAGGAATGAAAACTTAACGACCCGTTACTGTATTAATGAGGAGAATAAGTTTTATTAATGTTTTTAGTTATGGTGCAGAAAATTCCAAAAGTTGATTGAAACCAGCTTTGATTCAATCTTCAAATACTGCACTCAAAGACTCATTCAGCATGTGCTCAAGGAGAAGATACAATCACATGGTCACAATGGAATAAGGCAGCCAATTTGATTCTTAAAACAATGCTAAAACAACCGTAACAATAGAACACAGTCATTTTTATGCTTGCCGATTTTTAATCCACTTTACTCTGCTCATTTGGCAACTAAGGGCATCTGTAGTTTTTACTTTCGCAATAAAATATAGACATTGTGAACATACCAAATAACATTTGCATAAAACAGATAAAATTTTACAGAATAACAGTTTTATACTACTTTTAATGCAGTGGTCAAATTCAGCGTTTCCCAAATTGTGGGTCACATACATTTTCCCAGTATAAGAAATCACTATATCTGCATCTGCTCAGGATAAAATAAGCCCTGCAGAAAAGGTCGATCAGTTTTCTTCACATCATAATAACTCTGAAATTATTTTGTTCTGGATTCTGGTGGGTTGAAAAATTTTCTGTATGTCAGCAAGTGGGTCATGATTCAAATAAGTCTGGGAACTGCTGGTCAAATTAACCACTCTGGTAGTTCTAGTTATAAAATTATGATAGATTCCTTAGCAAAATGTGCATGCTATTTTACAAAAAGTACCAATGAAAGAAATCATGAAAAAATAATTAATACAAATAGTCAAGGACATGTTTCAAGTCAATTTCAATAAATTTCTTTCTTCATTCTTAGATACAAATTGAGACTGGACTTCACATTAACTTGAACCCATTTAGGCAAAGGAATAATGTCAGAGCAATCAGATTATGTTTCTGATTTATTTTACATCAAGCTACATGTTCTTCATTCACAAATGCAGCAAAAAAGGCTAGTGGTCTTGGTTTTCTCTTCTTGACAGAAAGAACTGTGAAAATGACCAGAACAAATCATCCACTTCACTTTCTACTCTCCGTACTACATTTCTTCTCTGGTGTACTTAGTACACCAGGTTGATGGACATATTTTGTGGGATGGTGTTCATTGCTGACTTTTAGGATAGATGGGAAATTTCAAGTTTTCAATGCTAGATGGGCTTCATGGCTCTCAGAGGAAAAACCACATGAGAGATTTAAAA